CTATTGTTGTGTCCCAGTATTGTGTTAGAGCTGGTCAGAAATTGATATTTCCAGTTTGTGGGGAATTTCGAAATTTGTTTTTTTTCTGAATCAAAACAAAAATGAATATTCCCAAAATTTCTCATGAAGCAGCCTTGCCAAGAAACTGTTTCTATCTTTTTATAGGCCTTTTAGTTTTTATGTTGATTGTACGTAATTTCATTAGCTGGACCGTTTCTGCTGTCATATTATAACACAGATTAATGGTGGACAGTTCTATTTTTATTTTTAAAATAATTCAGGGCAGCTGCCACTTAGTATTCATTGAGACTCATTAACGTCTTTTCTAGCTCAAAGAGTCTCTTGCTTGAGCGGTAATGAAACAGCTGGACACTTGGAAAACGTTTTTCCCACAGAAAACTCTTTCCATGAATTTTTTTCCAATATGCTGTTTGTTGTGAAGACATTGCTACACAACACTTACGAGTGCTTTGATGAAATGTTGCGCAGCCCCAAAACGTCACGTTATGCTGACACACCATTGCAGCTTGAATATCACAATGTTGTGATGCGTGCATGTCCCACAAAGTAGACAAAGTGGCTGGCCTGGGGCTTATTCTGACTTTAAAAATACAATGGTCGCTTTTATTACTAGTATTCACAAATAGGAAGTTAAGGGAGTCTTTGTGGAAAAGCTTCTATCTGTCTCTTCCTACAGCACAGCTCTGATTTGGATCTCTGGAACCAGAGAGCCTGTGTATCACATGATCCCTTTCCTAATACCTCCCAAGGGAGGGCACTTTGTACCCAAAAGCCTCTCTTCTAGCTGGAGTTGGTTCAATAAAAGTTATTGATTCATAGATTCATAGATGTTAGGGTCGGAAGGGACCTCAATAGATCATCGAGTCCGACCCCCTGCATAGGCAGGAAAGAGGGCTGGGTCTAGATGACCCCAGCTAGATGCATATCCAACCTCCTCTTGAAGACCCCCAGGGTAGGGGAGAGCACCACCTCCCTTGGGAGCCCATTCCAGACCTTGGCCACTCGAACTGTGAAGAAGTTCTTCCTAATGTCCAGTGTAAATCTGCTCTCTGCTAGCTAAATGAGCCTTACTCCTTGCCTTTTTGGAGCAGACATGGGAAGTCTCTGTAGGCACCATGAGCTGGACTTGGTGCTACAGACAGGGTCTCTCTAGCCTGCCAAGTCTGGGCCAGGCCAGGGGCCTCATCTGTGCTGCAAAAGAGGCCAAACAGCAAAGCTGTGGTGTTGCTCTCCTTTCTTTAGGCAAGAGAAACACTGGAACCTCCTGGTTTGAAGCGTGACCTTGGTAGGGATTGAGAGGTCTTGCCTCCCTAGAGGGTGTCTGTCTTCTGGTGTACTGGAGAGCTGGTGTGCCTGCCTGAGGGCAAACGTTTCAGCTTCTCACCCATGATCATGGTTGTCCCAGCTGCCTCCCTCTTCACAGCCACCTTCAGCCCTGGGGAGGTGTATATATAGGAATCACAGGTAAGTAAGGCTGGAAGAGACCTCACAAGGTCATCCTGTCCAGCCCCCCAGTCAAGGCAGGATCCTCCCTGACTAAACCAGCCCAGGCAAGCGTCTGTCCAACCTACTCTCGAAAACTTCCAAGGATGGAGATCCCACAGTTTCTCCAGGCAGCCTGTCCCAGTGCATGACCACCTTCATAGAAAGCATCTCCTCATCCCCAGCCTAAAGTTTCTTCTGCTGCAGCTTCAGGGCATTGCTCCTGGTCCTACACAGCACAAAACCCTAGAGTCCCTAGCCCCAAAGCCAACTAAAAAATAGTCCTTGGCTTGTGCACCAACAGCCAGACACTACTCAAGGATGGAAGTATATCCAGGCCCAGCTGGGCCCCAGAGCTGTGTGGCCTCTCATCTTTCCCTCCCAGGGGGAGGAAGGCAGCCAGCTGGGAGGGGAGCAGAGAGAGGCACCACCCCAGTGTTGCCAGGTGTATGATCATTATTGTATTTGTACGATAATTTCAACCCTTGTACAATGTATGATCAGTAATAGTAAAAGTGTTCAAAATGTGCAATAACTTTTGAAGTTGTTGGCTGTAACCATGTTGGTCTAAGGACATAGGCAGACAAGGTTCTTTGGGTAGATGTGGTATCTTTTATTAGATCAACTAAATAATTGGCCTAATAAAATTTAGTTAGTCTAATAAAAGATATCACATCTACCCAAAGAACCTTGTCTGCCAATAACTTTTGAGGCAAGTAATTGATGCAGCATATTTAAAATCCAGGCACTCTCAGGTGCTGATTTTTGGTGGGGGCTTTTTTTTTTTTTTTTTTTTAATATTTTCTGTGTTTCAGGTCAAATCAGCCAAATCAGTTCCAAATCATATCAAAAACCATATTGAGTGAGCAGGCAGAATGCAATCGTTCTAGATACCATGTATGGTGCTACAACCTGTGAGCATCCTCCTTCCCAGATTTTCACCCTGGGACTTCAGATACTCCCAAATCCACTGGCAGGCATCCTATATGTAGGCCCAAGCCCAGACGTCTTGGGATTCAGATGCCCCCACTGAGACACTTGATCTGAGACAAAAGGTCAAGAAGCATACAAAGTATACATGATATTAGTTCAGAGCCAAAAGGCAGTCTTAACTGAATTTTGGGTTTGCTCTTTTTTTTTTTTTTGAAAATTTTTCATGTTCCAGGTCAAATTAGCCAGATCAGGTCTAAATCGTTTTGATTAAGCAAAGCTCAGTTGTTCAAACACTATATGTGCTGCTGCAACCAACAAGTATCCTCCACCCCAGACTTTTCAGCCTGGGGCTTCACACTTTCAAATCCACCAGCGGGCATCTTATGTGCAGGCCCAAGCCTGGAGGTTTGGAGTTTGGATGCCCGTCAGTTTTCCTTGCCCTCAGCCGACAGGAGGAGGAGCAACCTAGGGCTTGCTGTCTTTTTTTTTTAAGGAAAAATGTTCGTGTCCCAGGTCAAATTAGCCAGATCAGGTCCAAATCTATTTGAGTCATGCAAGAACCATACATGGCCCTGCTGCCGGCAAGTATCCTCCACCCCAGCCTGGGGCTTCAGATACTTCCAAATCCTTTGGCAGGCATCCTACATGCTGGCCCAAGCTTGGAGGCTTGGGGTTCAGATGGCCCCAAGTTTCCCCCGAGGGTATTTGATGGCCACGAATTTCACCTGCCCTTAGCTGTATGGCTGCAGGAGCAAGCTAGGGAGGAGTCTCCCATTTCCATAAAGTTGGTGTGTAGCCAAGATCCTCCCCTGGGAAGCTGACCAGTGGGAAGCTATGAGCAGGGCTGGACACAGCCACGGGCAAACTGGGCAGCCGCCCAGAGCCCAGGCAGAAAGGGGGCCTGAAAATGGTGAAAATAATGATTATTATTATCATTATCTCTGGCAAAGGGGGCCCTGATACTAAAACCTTGCCCAGTGCCATGGGTGACTGGTGCCTTCTGAGTCTGGGGGGGCACCAGATGGCCAACGGCGGGAGGGGGCTGCAGCCGATCACTGACGGGGTGGGGGTGCACTTCCGCCACCACTTCTGGTTTCATGACTGGCACTTCCGGGTGTGCACAGCTGATCTCAGGGGGTGCATGTCCACTGGCGTGCACCCCCTATGCATCACCAATGCCCAGGCCACCAGGAGTCTAGGTACGGTGCTGACTATGAGGTTCTCATAGTGAGTCCCATCCCACATTTGGACTGGGGTGCACCATCCACTACACTGTGCTATTTTAAACTCAGCTCAGCTCAGGTGGCAGACCATTGCAGCAACTGTGCTTGATTTATTTTTTTTAATAATTTTGTTGTGTTCCAAGCCAAACCAAGTCCAAATCCATGAGTCAGTCCAAAACCATAAGTGGCCCTACTACCGGCAAGCATGCTCCACCCCCACCTGGGTTTTCAGATGTTTCCAAATCCTTTGGCAGGCATCCTACTTGCAGGCCCAAGCCCAGAGGCTTGGGGTTTGGATGCCCCTGGGGTTTGCTTGCCCTTAGCCATAAGGCCTTTGGAGCAAGCAAGGGAGAAGACTCCCATTTCCGTAAAGTGGGCATAAAGCCGCTGCACCTTGGCGGGTCCTGAACCATGGCAGAAAAGCAGTTCTCCTGAGAGGCTGTTCAGTAAAACTGCCTTCCCGGACACACAACATGGTATTTCCCCTGCCAGGTTAAGAAGCCGCTATGCTTGATGTGAGCCTAGCAACTACACTTCATGTTGGCTTTGCTGTCCCCACTTTCTTACGATTTTGCCTCGAAAGAAAGAAATGGTTCGGCCTGGCTTGGCCCGGCTCACTCACTTCCTGGGAGTTACGGGGAGCAGTTCGAAGTGAAGGAGAAGGTTTATTAGCATGCTTTTGGGTTTTATTTCCTAACCGCGTCAGCTCGTTTCCAGCAACAGCGCTCATGTGGAGCCCCCAATCCCCTCGTGTCATCGTCGGGACCTGGCCCCGGGGCCACGTAAGAAATGGTTCGGCCTGGCTTGGCCCGGCTCACTCACTTCCTGGGAGTTACGGGGAGCAGTTCGAAGTGAAGGAGAAGGTTTATTAGCATGCTTTTGGGTTTTATTTCCTAACCGCGTCAGCTCGTTTCCAGCAACAGCGCTCATGTGGAGCCCCCAATCCCCTCGTGTCATCGTCGGGACCTGGCCCCGGGGCCACGTGCGCCAGCAGCACGGCTCGGGCGCCACCTGTGCCCTGTGCCGGCCCGGGGCAGCCAGCGGGATAAGACTCCGCTCGGCCCCGGCCCCTGCCCACGCCGGCGCCTCCCACCGCCCCCGGAGGACGGGGAGGGGGCGGGGGG